ATAATGAAATTATTTAATATTTCAGAAAAGAATCGCAGATTCCCACAATATTTTAATTTAATTTTTCAGAAATTTCACTATTTAATCCTCCATTTGCCAGCGCTTAGGTATTTGGTACAAGAATCTCAGAGGAGGGAGTCCATAAAAATTTAATTTAATTTTTCAGAAAATTCACTTTTTCATTTTCGATTTGCCAGCGCTCAGTTACTTGATATGAGAATCCCAGAGGAAGGCGTCCACAAAATTGTTCAGAAATTTCACAATTTAATTTCATAATGAAATTATTTAATATTTCAGAAAAGAATCGCAGATTCCCACAATATTTTAATTTAATTTTTCAGAAATTTCACTATTTAATCCTCCATTTGCCAGCGTTTAGGTATTTGGTACAAGAATCTCAGAGGAGGGAGTCCATAAAAATTTAATTTAATTTTGAGAATCCCATAGGAAGGCAACCACAAAATTTTACACAAATTTCACAATTTAATTTCATAATGAAATTATTTAATATTTCAGAAAAGAATCGCAGAGGAGGACGCCCACAATATTTTAATTTCATATTTCAGAATTTTCACTACCTAATTTTCGATTTGCCAGCGATTAGTTAACTGGTACGAGAATCCCAGAGGAGGGAGCCCACAATATTTTAATTTAATTTTTCAGAAATTTCACTATTTAATCCTCCATTTGCCAGCGCTTAGGTATTTGGTACAAGAATCTCAGAGGAGGGTGTCCATAAAAATTTAATTTCATTTTTCAGAAAATTCACTTTTTCATTTTCGATTTGCCAGCGCTCAGTTACTTGATATGAGAATCCCAGAGGAAGGCGTCCACAAAATTTTTCAGAAATTTCACAATTTAATTTCATAATGAAATTATTTAATATTTCAGAAAAGAATCGCAGATTCCCACAATATTTTAATTTAATTTTTCAGAAATTTCACTATTTAATTCTCCATTTGCCAGCGCTTAGGTATTTGGTGTGAGAATCGGCGAGGATAGCGCCCACAAAGTTTTAATTTAATTTTTCAGAAATTTCACTATATAATTCTTAATTTTCCAGCGCTTAATTACTTGATATGAGAATCCCAGAGGAAGGCGTCCACAAAATTTTTCAGAAATTTCACAACTTAATTTCACAATGAAATTATTTAATTTTTCAGAAAAGATTTGCAGGTGAGGGCGCCCACAATATTTTCATTTAATTTTTCAGAAATTTCACAATTTAATCCTCCATTTGCCAGCGCTTATGTATTTGGTGTGAGAATCCCAGAGGAAGGCGTCCACAAAATTTTTCAGAAATTGCACAATTTAATTTCACAATGAAATTATTTAATTTTTCAGAAAAGATTTGCAGAGGAGGGCGCCCACAATATTTTCATTTCATTTTTCAGAAATTTCACAATTTAATCCTTCATTTGCCAGCGCTTATGTATTTGGTGTGAGAATCCCAGAAGAAGGCGTCCACAAAATTTTTCAGAAATTGCACAATTTAATTTCATAATGAAATTATTTAATTTTTCGGAAAAGATTTTCAGAATTCTCAATGAAATTATTTAATTTTTTAGAAAAGATTTGCAGAGGAGGGCGCCCACAATATTTTATTTTAATTTTTCAGAAATTTCACAATTTAATTTTCGATTTGCCAGCGATTAGTTACTTGGTACGAGAATCCCAGAGCCAGGCGTCCACAAAATTTTTCAGAAATTTCACAATTTAATTTCATAATGAAATTATTTATTTTTTCGGAAAAGATTTTCAGAATTCTCAATGAAATTATTTAATTTTTCAGAAAAGATTTGCAGAGGAGGGCGCCCACAATATTTTATTTTCATTTTTCAGAAATTTCACTATTTAATTTTCGATTTGCCAGCGATTAGTTACTTGGTACGAGAATCCCAGAAGAAGGCGTCCACAAAATTTTTCAGAAATTGCACAATTTAATTTCGTAATGAAATTATTTAATTTTTCGGAAAAGATTTTCAGAATTCTCAATGAAATTATTTAATTTTTCAGAAAAGATTTGCAGAGGAGGGCGCCCACAATATTTTATTTTAATTTTTCAGAAATTTCACAATTTAATTTTCGATTTGCCAGCGATTAGTTACTTGGTACGAGAATCCCAGAGCCAGGCGTCCACAAAATTTTTCAGAAATTTCACAATTTAATTTCATAATGAAATTGTTTAATATTTCAGAAAAGAATCGCAGATTCCCACAATATTTTAATTTAATTTTTCAGAAATTTCACAATATAACCTCCATTTGCCAGCGCTTAGGTATTTGGTACAAGAATCTCAGAGGAGGGAGTCCATAAAAATTTAATTTAATTTTTCAGAAAATTCACTTTTTCATTTTCGATTTGCCAGCGATTAGTTACTTGGTACGAGAATCCCAGAGGCAGGCGTCCACAAAATTTTTCAGAAATTTCACAATTTAAATTCATAATGAAATTATTTAATTTTTCAGAAAAGATTTCCACAATATTTTAATTTAATTTTTCAGATATTTTACAATTTAATCCTCCATTTGCCAGCGCTTACTTACTTGATATGAGAATCCCAGAGGAAGGCGTCCACAAAATTTTAATTTCATTTTTCAGAAATTTCACTTTTCCATTTTCGATTTGCCAGCACTTAGTTGCTTGATATGAGAATCCCAGAGGAAGGCGTCCACAAAATTTTTCAGAAATTTCACAATTTAATTTCATAATGAAATTATTTAATATTTCAGAAAAGAATCACAGAGGAGGACGCCCGCAATATTTTAATTTCATATTTCAGAATTTTCACTATCTAATTTTCGATTTGCCAGCGATTAGTTAACTGGTACGAGAATCCCAGAGGAGGGAGCCCACAATATTTTAATTTCATTTTTCAGAAATTTCACAATTTAATCCTCCATTTGACAGCGCTTAGGTATTTGGTGAAAGAATCTCAGAGGAGGGAGTCCATAAAAATTTAATTTAATTTTTCAGAAAATTCACTTTTTCATTTTCGATTTGCAAGCGATTAGTTACTTGGTACGAGAATCCCAGAAGAAGGCGTCCACAAAATTTTTCAGAAATTGCACAATTTAATTTCATAATGAAATTATTTATTTTTTCGGAAAAGATTTTCAGAATTCTCAATGAAATTATTTAATTTTTCAGAAAAGATTTGCAGAGGAGGGCGCCCACAATATTTTATTTTCATTTTTCAGAAATTTCACTATTTAATTTTCGATTTGCCAGCGATTAGGTATTTGGTGTGAGAATCGGCGAGGATAGCGCCCACAAAGTTTTAATTTAATTTTTCAGAAATTTCACTATATAATTCTTAATTTTCCAGCGCTTAATTACTTGATATGAGAATCCCAGAGGAAGGCGTCCACAAAATTTTTCAGAAATTTCACAACTTAATTTCACAATGAAATTATTTAATTTTTCAGAAAAGATTTGCAGGTGAGGGCGCCCACAATATTTTCATTTAATTTTTCAGAAATTTCACAATTTAATCCTCCATTTGCCAGCGCTTATGTATTTGGTGTGAGAATCCCAGAAGAAGGCGTCCACAAAATTTTTCAGAAATTGCACAATTTAATTTCATAATGAAATTATTTATTTTTTCGGAAAAGATTTTCAGAATTCTCAATGAAATTATTTAATTTTTCAGAAAAGATTTGCAGAGGAGGGCGCCCACAATATTTTATTTTCATTTTTCAGAAATTTCACTATTTAATTTTCGATTTGCCAGCGATTAGTTACTTGGTACGAGAATCCCAGAAGAAGGCGTCCACAAAATTTTTCAGAAATTGCACAATTTAATTTCGTAATGAAATTATTTAATTTTTCGGAAAAGATTTTCAGAATTCTCAATGAAATTATTTAATTTTTCAGAAAAGATTTGCAGAGGAGGGCGCCCACAATATTTTAATTTCATTTTTCAGAAATTTCACTATTTAATTTTCGATTTGCCAGCGATTAGTTACTTGGTACGAGAATCCCAGAGCCAGGCGTCCACAAAATTTTTCAGAAATTTCACAATTTAATTTCATAATGAAATTGTTTAATATTTCAGAAAAGTGTAAAGAAGTTTTATTTCCAGCTGGGGTATAACTCAGCTGTCCAGGGTTCATTTACAAGAAAATTTATAAATGTGACGGGACCATGCGACAAGAGGGACTCGATGCACACTGTAGGGTGTCAGTCGCCTTGCGGCCGGTAGTTTTGGCGTTATGTCTGCATGCGCATGCGCTGCAAACTAACCTCCAAAACTCCGTTGGTCGAGTGGACTATTTCATCTATCGCGGTTCATACACGCTATACATGAAATAGGCCCACTGTAGCCGCTGGTGCTGGAGGATGCGGGGCGGAATAGGGCTCGTTTTGACGTTATATTGCCGGCTCATACGCAACAATATAACAATTAACACTCGCTTGCTTTTTCAGTCACACCTTACATATATTCTGACTCGAGCCTGGTATATATGTAAGTTGCGCTCATAGCGTGGGCGGATTTCTTAAATATTCTTAAAAATGCCTTTTATTCTGGATTTCGTTGTCATTGGCCCTACATTGCACCACGTTTATTGCCTGATTTCCATAACTTACGTGGATTTGATCCTATGCCTCGCTGCTAACACACGTCTGGTCGTCTCGATGGTCGCCGAAGAAGAGAGCGAGCTTCCATTTTCGTTTGCCCTTCCCGCCTTCGTTCGTGTGACCTAATTCTCTTTTTCTAAAATCCCTATACAAGCGTGGGCGGTGATGCCGGCTCGTTTATTCTTCCTTTATTCAAAAGATCTTTGCTGCGTAACTCTTCCTGTATGTAGTGTGGTGAAATATAATTGAAACTTACGTCTAGTAGCAGAGAAACTTCAATGTGAAATCTTAAATCTAATAACAGTAGTGGAATCTTAAGACTAGTAACAAAAATTGGCACTATTCAGAACCGTGCAAGTAATAATAAAAATAGAAAAATCTTAGTGCTAATACAATTTGTGGCGCAGAATTTTACTGCGTTACATCCTCTCCTTTCTTCGGGGGGTCAAATGGATCAAAACCCTCCGAGTCTTCGTCCGTTCCACTTGAAATCGTTGCCCGTCCAGTTCTTTGGAGTAACGGGCCCGGGTGCGCTTGTGCATCCCTGACATGACGTCCTCGACCAGGTCCTGGGGTACTTTCCGGTCCTTCGTGTCGACCTTCCACCCCGTCGGTGCCACAACCCACTCCGCTGGTGCTGCTTCGCTGGTGGTCGCGTTGGTCGGGGCTCGTGAGTACCGCCGACGAAAGAGGGGACGGTTGTCCTCTTCGTCCGATGTTGCCGGCTCCCAGGTAGGCCGTTGGACAGTCTCGGGTGAGGTGTTCCGCCTTGGTTGACTCTGTGAGCTGTCGTTGCGGTTGTTCCGCGTGTAGTTGGCCGCTTCTGGTTGTCGGTTGCTGGTCCGGTCATCGGTGGTCGCTTCCAGCTCGACGGGCATGCATCGAGCCTCCTCACGACCCCTGAGTGCTTGCCGTGACTCTCTCGGTACGTTGAACATCGAACTCATCGTCTCTCCCGGGGGTAGGAAGATATCCACAGTAGTGGTGGTGTTGCGGGTCACTCGGGCACCATAGGGAGTGGTGATGTGCTGGTAGTTTTCTGCGGATGCTACCACTTCCCGGTAATAGATTTGCTCGTCGTCGCTGCTGGACTCGCTGGCCGGACTGGCTGCGTAATGCTCCAGCTCAGTCTGCGGCTCGGCGGGCTTGTATACCCCTCGTCCGCTCCTTGGGTCGCGTCGGGGTTCCGGCTTTGGTGACCTGGAGTAGGAGCCGCCGTCTTGATGGCCCTGGAACCGGGGTGGATATGTGGGGCCTCGAAAGCCGCGGTGAGGTGGTGCGTCCTCGTCGTACACCTCGCGCACATTGTCGGGATAGTGCCGTTCAGGTAGGTTGTCGCTTTCCGAGCTGGGAGGTGGTGGTGACTCTTGCCAGTCCCACTCATCCCGCTGCAGTGTTGTCCTGAATCGTTCGTCGGGCTGGCCGTCGTCGTTCTCCGGCTCGGATGAGGACAGCCACTCGTTGTCGTAAGCGCTGCTGGCTGGGGACGGGTCATCTGGTGACTGGCCGTCGTCGTTCTCTGGCTCCGATGAGGACAGCCACTCGTTGTCGTGAGCGCTGCTGGCTGGGGACGGGTCATCTGGTGACTGGCCGTCCTGGTCTTGGGGAAGGTATGGGGACGTAGACTTGTCGTCCTCCCAATCCTGCTCCGGCGACGATTGCCACGCACTGCTTCCAGTATTTCTCTCCATCTTGGCTTAACGAAAGTTGTTCTTGCTGTGGAAGATAAAATTTCTTGTTATTAACTTTGTTTTTGCAGGTTTTATTCCGCTTTAGAGGTGTGGCTTGCGCGTAAGGTAAACTAGTGTGAGTGTGGGGTCTCTGGCTAATACCCCTTATTATCTAATTACTCATCCAAGTAAGTGCGCCATGTCTTCTGGCTCATACTCAGGAAGTGGGTCACTACTTGGGCTTGGCGAGTGCTCTCTTGGTTAATCCTGAGGGTTGTGGGTAGCCTCGAGGATGTCTGTGTCGTCGTCGTCGTTGTTCGCTGCATCAGGGTGGTACTCTTTTAGGTCGGCCACGTTGGCAACTTGTTTCCTCCGGCTTCCCCCACGTTGGATGCGCACGACGTATGTGGATACGAACCTGACCACCTTGAATGGTCCGTCGTATTTCGGTGCTAGTTTTGCAGCAAATCCTTCGGCAGCTTTCGAAAGGTGATGCTGTCGAAGTAAGACAAGGGATCCTAGTTTCGGTCTCCATTCTCTGCGGCGTAAATTGTAGTGGCGTTGTTGATCTTGCGTGGCTCGTTGCATATTGGACTGTGCTATGGCGAATATCTCCCTCAAACGGGCTGCTTTCTCGGCAGGCGTTTGAGATTCGCTTCCAGTGGCTGGCGTCACCTCGACGTATAGTGCGCTTGGGAGTCTTGGCTCTCGCCCTTGTACTACGAAGGCTGGACTGAAACCAGTAGAGTCTGAGACGCTGGAGTTGAGGGCCAGAGTAATCTCCGGCAGCAACTCGTCCCAGGTGTTCTGATCGCCGTTGATGAACTGCGATATCATCGTTTTGATTGTCCGATTTTCCCTTTCTGTTGGGTTCTCCTGGGGGCAGTACGGTGCTGTATGCTGGACGTCGACTCCCCATTCCTTTAGGCAGTTCTTGAATATCCGACTCGTGAACTGTGTGCCGTTATCGCACACGAAGAGTTTTGGGACTCCAAACCTGCTGAGGACTCGTTCTCTAAATGCTCGTACCAGATGGGTGGCAGTGGCCTTTTTAAGGGGGACCAATTCGACCCATTTCGAGAACAAATCGAAGAAAACGAGTAGTGTAGTGTTACCGTGCTTGGATCTGGGTAGAGGTCCGACGAAATCAGCGCATAGTGTCGTGAATGGCTCATCGACTTGCCTCGTGAGCATTCTTCCAGCTGGCTTCTGTTGATAGACCTTAAATCGTTGGCAGCTTTCACATTTCTGAACATGACGTCGGACGTCTCGATACATCCCTGGCCAGTAGTACCGCTGGGATAACCTGATGATCGTCTTGCGGATGCCTTGATGACCCGCTGTTGGAGCGTCATGGCACTCTTCGAGAACACGGCGACGATGATTCCTAGGGACACAGAGCTTCCACGGGACGTAATCGTCGTCGTTTGGCCTGTGACCCAGGTTTCGGTACAGTTGTCCATTTTCCAGGGTGTACTCCGAGAACTTCTGTGGATCTTCCTGTACTTGCTTGATCTTGTTCGTAATCCACGGGCAAGATGATTCTCCTTCTGCGTCAATTCGATACATGTTTTCCAGAGGCTGTCTGGAGAGTGCGTCGGCCACGACGTTTTTCTTTCCGGCTCTGTAGCGAATGTCGAATTGATATTGTTGCAATTCTAGCGCCCATCGTGCAACTCTTCCTAGGGGACTCTCGAGTGTATTCAGCCACTTGAGTGCCAAGTGATCGGTCACCACCTCGAATCGGTAGCCCTCCAGGTAGCACCTCAGCTTCCGGATTGCCCAAATCACAGCTAGACATTCCTTGTCGGTAGCAGAGTAATTCTGCTCAGCTTTGCTCAGTCTGCGACTGATGTATGAAATGACTCGCTCCTGCCCATCGATCTCCTGCGTTAATACCGCACCGATCCCGAGATTGCTAGCGTCCGTTTGTAGTACGAACTTGTGGTTAAAATCCGGGCATGCTAACACTGGAGCTGTGGTGAGTAAAGATTTCAAATTATTAAAAGCTGTTTGCTGTTCTTCGCCCCAACGCCAGACTCTTCCCTTTTTGAGTAGTTGGGACATTGGCTGCACGACTGCAGCGAAATTTGGCCATCCCAATAAATTGGCGAAGTTCCTTCAAGTTCGTTGGAGGCTCCAGGTTTCGTACAGCAGAAACTTTGTTAGGATCCGTGTGAATGCCCTGGTTGCTGACCAAATGGCCCAAGTATTTCAATCTCTGTTGGAAGAACGTGCATTTCTCTGGATTGATTCTGAGATTTGCCTGACGTAGTCGTCTGAAGACCTCGCGCAAATTTCTGATGTGGTCATCAAAGTCCTTGCCGATGATAATGACGTCATCCATATAGGCGAAAGCGTTGGGTTCCATGTCTGTGCCCAGGACTGTGTCGAGAGTGCGTTGAAACGTAGCAGGCGCCGAGTGTAGTCCAAATGGCATGACACGCCACTGGAATAGACCCCGACCCGGTACAGTGAACGCTGTACATTCACGGCTGTCATCAGCCATGGGTATTTGCCAATAGCCATTCTTCAAGTCCAGTGTGGTTATAAACTTTGCGTTGCGTAGTCGCTCCAGTATGTGGTTAATGCGCGGCAGAGGGTACGCATCAGGAATTGAATGTTCATTGAGTTGCCGGTAATCCACACACATACGCCACTTGCCATTCTATTTCCGAACAAGCACAATGGGAGCGCTGTGTGGGCTCCGAGAAGGTTCTATTAATCCTTGCTCCAAGAGTTCATCCACTTGTTCATTGATTATACGTTGCATGGCCGGATTTCTTGGGAAGTATCGCTGCTTGATTGGGCGATTATCTCTCATGACGATCGAGTGCTTCGCCATATGCGTGACTCCACTGAGCGTGTCAAATCTTGGTAGCTCCTCGTCTAAGAACTGTTGAGCTTTGAGCTGTATGTCCCGTGGCCATGGTTCTGCCGGTTCTCGTTGTAACACCTAGTCGTAATCTGGTTCCTCGGGTTCTTCAGCCAATTCAGTGACGTCGAAGGGGCTGGCCTGCGTAGTCGTGGTCGTTGAGGGACTCTGTGGTTCCTTGTTCTCCTCATTGTTGTCTTCATGCTGTTGACAACACCTCTCTATGGCCTGCCGGCTAGTGACGGGTACGCTTGTATTCTTGGCTGGTGCAGGGCGCGGCGATGTGACCTTGGTTGTGCTTCTCCTCCGGCTAGTGGGTAGATCAGGATTCTCGTTGTGCATAGGGGCTTCTGGTTCGCCTGGTCCAAGTTTCAGGCAACGGTCCCGCATTGTATCATCGTGCCAATGGTCTGTAGGAAATCGATACCTAGGATAACGGGGTCGAGCATGTTGGGCATAACCAGGAATGTCATGCGAACAGTGCGATTGTCTAGGCGTACGCTCGTGTGTAAGGCTCTGCTTATCTCGCATCTGGAACCGTCGGCAAGCCGAATGTTCGTGCTGGCGCTGCGGATTTCGTCCTGTCGAGCCACCGTATAAAAGCACGTTTCGCTGATGAAACTGCGAGTTGCCCCGGTGTCTATTGTGGCAACTATGCTTTGACCGCTTATCTGGACTCTGGCCACAATGCGTCCTTCGCACATATACATCTGGCTATCTAGGCTGGGGGTGTTGCTTGCGCTGTCTCCGCTGGGTTCCCAGTCGAGCGGAGACGCTGCTCGTTTCCCGATGCTCGCTGTAGGCAACAGGCAAGGGTTCGTACGCCTCGCCGACCACATTCCCAGCAGAACAGTACCCGTCTGTTACGGCACTGATCCTGGAAATGGCCCTGCTGGCCACAGTTCCTGCATGCTCGTCGAGCGTCGCCCGGAACATGCGAGTCCTGTGTCATCATTTGGTTCGCTGCGTCCAGACTGCCACCTTGCCGCATTCCAGGCACCGCCAACGTCATCGTCGGTGGTTCCAGCCGCGGCATCGGTCGTTGTCGGAACGGATTGCGTGGCGTCTCGAATGTTGTTGGTCTCGTGTTTCTGTCGCGGCCATATGTTGCAGCTGCAGGCGTATGCGACCTGCTCGGTGAAGTGTTGGCGAAGGGTGCGGCCATGGGCGTGCGCCTCTGACTACGCTTCTTGACACTCTCCAACTCTCCAATGAGTTGGATAAGATGAGGCAGCGTCCGGAATTCATGGCGGCCTACATATAGCTGAAATTCTGGCAAAGTGTTTTCATAAATACGATCTAGTTCTTGGGCCTCGGTGTACCCGGCATGATGCATGAGTGCTCGCAGCTCTACGACAAAATCTTTAAAACTTTCCCCCTCTACTTGCAAGCGAGTTCTTATCTCGTCTTCTAGCCGCTGAAAATACTTGGAGGGCAGAAAAAAATCTAAAAATTATTTTCGAAAGGTTGCCCATGTTGCATTCTGGAGTCGGCTTGTGCGGAACCAGAGTGCAGCTTTCTCAGTTAGAACCTCCGGCATGGCGCGCGGCAGGTCGTCGAACTCGATGTCGTAGGAAACAGCCCGTTCTTCGAGTTGTTCTATAAATGCCAGTGGGTCTGTGCACCCGTTAAAACGAAGTCCCCATTTTCTTATGCGCTCTGGACTTGTATTATGACATGCCATTGAGGCCGTAACGTTGCCTGCTGTGGGCCGGTTCTGGTTTGGTTCCTCGAAGCGTATTGCGCGACTTGCAGTCGATGGGTTTGGCTTTGGTTGCCAATTTGGGAACAGCCGATCATTGATGGGCGAGAGATATGCAGGCGAAGCAGTTCCGGGTATCTGGAAATCGCGCGGCGCACCCATCATCGATGTGCGCGGCAATTATCCAGACTCAGGAACTGGGGCCGGTACGAATTTCCACGTATAATGCCGTTCGAGATCCGCCAACCGAGCCCAAGTTTCGCGCTGCAATGCCTTTCCCGCAATGAACGTCGCGAAATTCTGTTTTAAATCGTCGAGTTGGTTCGCCGTGTCGAACCCGAACTCGACTGAGAACTCTTCCAGTTCTGTTTGCGACCGGCTATAAATCCAGCCGGTTCCCACCCCAGGGTTTCTAGTGACTACTGGAACGTACTCACCCTGAAT